TTCACTCATCCATCACCAGGGAAATCAAAACAAAGAAAAATTTGTTGCTCATTCAATTGCTTCAGTTTAACATAAAACAATATAAATCGCCATTGTTTTTCAACAAGTAGCAATATTGGAGGAATGCTTATGGGTATTTCATGCAATTTTCTACCCAAAAGAGTTTTTGAGTGTTTCGATTGAAAGCTTGTTTGGAATAAAGTTAATGCAGGTTCATTAGTCTAGGAGATATGTCTGCTCAGGGGATATATTTTTGAAACTAGTACATGCTCATTGACCAATTTCTATACGAGGGTTATGGATAAAGTTATTAGAGACACAATGGTTTAGGAATCCCTATACCAAAACAGGAGGATTTTTAAAATCAATGTTGTGCTTATTAATTAACTTATATAAGGTTTTTCACTTTTGTTGATACATTATTTTGTGCATTTTGCTCAAGGGGAAATGTACTATTATGTTGGCCTCATATATAATGATAACTTATGTTCATTGGATAATTCATTAGAGGTTCTAACCTTGCTGCGACATTGGTGTGTGCGGGATTATACTATTGTGTTGTCCTTATTGTAATAACTTGCTTTGATTAAAGTTGTATCTTGCCCTATAATTGATTCTAATGTATTCTTTTTGCCTTAATAATGAACCTCTTTATTAATTCATTCATATACAAGAAAATAAGTGAGATCAGATATAACTTCTTAGTACTTTATGTAGATGACTTGAATAATTTCATGTCGTTTGAAAATTGTGTTAATGCAATTTAATGTTGTTAAGAAATTAGATTTAAAGTAGCAATTTCTTGTTGAGAAATCGCATAAATGAGTGTAATTTCACATTGTGGCAAAATAAAATTAGGGACCGATAAGAATAAGTGTGTTGCATTGTTGATCATACTTTGACACTAATTTTTACTACATTACTGAACTATGATTCAGGAAGATGTAATATTTATTATATATGTAAGTACGGAAGGTCGTATGCTATGGTATTTTTAGTATATATATTGTCAAGTTCCTATGTTAAGGTTATGTAGGATTTGATTGGATTGAGATATTGAAATTGAAATTTTATTTCTGAAATTGTAGCCACGTAAAATTATTTTTCAGTTATTAACACGATAGAATCATTTTCAAAATAATATTAAATTAATTAATATACCTCAAGTGAAAGAATGTTAGAATTTTTCTATTATGTGGGCTTTATTAATTAATATTGTTTTAGTATTTTCAAATTATTCGGGTTAATGAAACATTCCAATTCAATTAATTAATTATCTAATTAAGCTCGTTGGGATCATGTTTTTTTTTGGATTGATGACATCTGATTAAATTGGGCCTACTCAGACAACAAGGTAGATTTCAATGTGACCCTGATTTCCATTATGAGTGAGTCCAATGGGTACATACTCTTCTAACCGGGGTTTTTGGTTTGACTTTGTGTGAGATATGCACTCAGGCTATCAAGAACAGGGCGATCAGAGGAACATCTTAACATCAAATTTGCTCTCTTCATTCATTTCTAAAATGGCCCAACAAAATACGTACATTAACACATTTGATCTTATTATAATTTTAATATTTTCTAATCATATGCATAATTACGAACTTAATTTCTGTCAATTTTATCATAATAGGGTTAAGTCCAGAGTCAAATGTGCTTCCTTAAGGAAGCAAAGAAAACGAGATAACAACGTCCATTGGCGACTAGCAAGAATAATGCCAACTTCATATATCAGTGTAGTGACAATATAGCACTCCATCAAAGTAATATTTAGAAGTAGTTGAAACAAATAGCGCTCTTGGTTGTATTTATGACTACAACCGCTGTCTCACTACCTTATTTTGACTATCAAATATTACTCTTTTTGTCAGTTTTCCTCCTTTCAAAGTTAATGAATTTTCAACTAAAACATCAAATAATCGTGAACAAACTACATTACACCTATGTTAAGAAAAGTGCAAATAATAGTTTTGTAAATCAAAGTGAAAAGTGACGCAAGACTCAAAAATGCCCTCCAACGGTGCAAGTTCTTTTGATGTCTGGAAGCAACAATAACTTCAAGCCATACTCACCGGCGCACAAATAAGCCTGAAGGCAATGGCCAGCCGTACAGAGACCAAACATAATAGAATATATTTTTGGGTTTAATATCTCTCGTATTATAGAAGATAAAATTATCTCATACACACATATAAAAATATATGGTGCCATATTTTTTTTATCTCTTCTCTTCACATAGACCCACATAGGTCTCTCATATTTTTATATATATAGAAAATAAAATTATCTCTTACAACATAAAAAATATTAAACCCTATATTTTTATAGCAAATGCCTGTATCAAATATTGTTGTTTTTGAACTATTGCAACGTTTATTGTATTCTCAACCACCTAACTTTCATTTATAGCTGTGTCAAATTGTGAAAGGAATCATTTATAAAGTATAACGTTAGCATGTGCAACCAAAATCCGTACTTTAGCATGTATGATAAACTATTTTAGTATAAATTATAAAAAAAGGCCTAATAATAATTAATTTTAGGGATGTAAATGGGTTGGGTAAGGCTAGACTTTAATCTAAATAAGTCAGGCATATGAAAACAAAATTGAGTCTAACTTAATCTATTAACCCGATTTACATTAAATTATAGGTCTAACTTAGTCCATATTAAAAAAACTAAAATGCCTAATCTACATCTATCAGCCTATTTAAATTTGTTAAGGACTCAATACTTGTTAAAAATTAGAAAAACATTAATGAAATAATATTAATTTATTAATTAAAATTAGTAAAATATTTATTTTATTATATTTTAATAAAATAAACAATCAAGTATAGGCCCACATATAGACTTGTAAGTCAAGTATTATAAAAGCATGTCTATGATTATTTTCTAAAGGAGGTTTTTTAAAACTTGAATTTGTTCTGTTTTACTAAATATATGAGGTCAAATTTGACCTGATATGATCCATTTACATCTTTACTTGTTATTATTTGTTGATTTTATTTATATTTAATGACTCAAATCATTAATAAATTAAAGACAAGATATTAGAAAATTCTGACAATAATATTTAATAATGAAATTTAACACGTAGAGAGAGAGAAAATTCTGAGATTAATATTTAATAATGGAATTTAACTAACAAAAACGCACGCACACGCGCACACAAAGAGAGAGGGGACAGGATCCTTTGACACTGGTGTCAAACTAAAAAGTTTGACACCAAATCTTAACAGTTGATTTCGTGAATCTAACGATTATAATTTACTGGATCACACTTATTAATTAATTATTAATTTCCAATAAATTATAACCATTAGATTGATGGAAATCAACGATTAAGATTTAGTGTCAAAAATTTTTAGTTTGACATCGGTGTCAAAAGATCATGTCCCTATATATATATATATATATATATATATATATATATATATATATAGAGAGAGAGAGAGAGAGAGAGAAAGGATCCTTGACACCAGTGTCAAACGAAAAAGTTTGACACCAAACCTTAATCGTTGATTTCCGCCAATCTAACAGTTATAATTTATGAGGCATGATATACTTACCACCAAAATAGTTTACCACATTTACAATCAACCTAATCACCGTTGATTTCTGTCAATCTAATGGTTATAATTTTGTTGGATCGCATTTATTAATTAATTATTAATTTCCAATAAATTCAATAAATTATAACCATTAGATTGACAGAAATCAACGGTGATTAGGTTGGTTGTAAATGTGGTAAACTATTTTGGTGGTAAGTATATCCTTCCCCATAATTTATTAGGAATTAATAATTAATCAATAAATATGACCTAATAAATTATAACCGTTACATTAATGAAATCAACGTTTAAGATTTGGTGCCAAACTTTTTAGTTTGACACTTATGTTAACTGATTCTGCGCTATATATATATATATATATATATATGAGCTTAACATTTCTGCAGCTGCCGTAGATAGTGTTATTTACAGCTGACACACAAAAATGGACCCCACAACTTAAAAAAAAAAAAAAAACTCAGGATCCGGTGTCGTATCCTAGGAATCGGACGCGGATCCTTGCTTGCTGTTTATATATTCATCTAACGGTTATAGTTTATTGAGTTATACCAATTAATTAATTATTAATTTCAAATAAATAATAACCATTAAATAGACAGAATTCAACAACAAAAATAGAAAATAAAACTTCTAAATTTTATACTGGAGTCAAAATATACATTTCTCTAAAAACATTTTATTGTATGGTAAAAATATCTTAAGGGTACTTTCTGTCTATGTAGCACCGATACGGACACGGGACACGTGACACGATACGATATGACACTCTGACAAGTTAATTCTAAAAATTGTTAGATTTCGACACGTTTTGATATTAAATAATATTTTCAATTTATGTAGTGTATATTATATTTAAAATTCAATAATTTAACAAAAATACGAAACTAAACTTATAATATTCATCAATTTTGCAAAGAAACATAAGATATCTCAAATATTTATATTAAACTCAATAAAATGGTAATCGTAATCCAACGAATCTAATAGTTGGAACTAAAAACTCAACATAGCGCAACCTTTGAAACTTTTTTTTTTAATTTCTATAATGCGTGTTGGAGTGTCGGGGAGTGTCGGAGAGTGTCGGACACTACACGTCAAGATTTTTTAAATGTCGTGCTTCATAACTTTCTGTCTTTGGAGCCAAATTATTCTAAAGGATTAATGCAATCCCATCATAATTGTAAATAAAAAAATCCCGAACCATTTGATTAATCGCTCATCATAGAAATGCCAACGATCTAAGGCAGAGGTTGATATTCTAGAAAATAATTATCGAATGAGAGATTCCCAAATGAAATGATGAACAAACGGACAGACTTGACTAAAATAGCATTCAAATAAAATATAGAAAAAGGTACATAAAAGAAAATTAAGATATAAAGACCGAAACAGATACAGAGCGAGAAGGAAAGGGAGAGAGAAATGGCAGGGAGTTTTTGTTACAAGGACGTGGTTCCATTCACTGCAATGGTTGCAATTGAGTGCAGCAACGTTGGTGTTAACGTTTTATTCAAAGCAGCTACACAGAAGGGGTTGAGTTACTATGTCTTCGTCGTTTATTCATTTGCTGTCTCCAATCTTGTTTTTCTTTTGCCTCTGCCCTTTGTCTTCCTAAGGTGCTGTATTGCATATCCATCAATTACCTCGTATAATTCAAATCAATTACTCTTTGTAAATCAAATTAACCCATGTTGTGTTTTTCTATTCATATATATTTTACTTGTTCATTTATTTAACCAGGTCAAGTAGGCTTCCTCCGTTCAAGGTGTCTCTCATCTTCAAACTTTTCTTCCTTGGAGTGATTGGGTAAGACAAAACAGTGCAAAAGTCTTAGGATTTTGAACATTTGATCATTTCTTCTGAAGAATAAAACTAAAGCTTAAATACTGATCATAATTTTGGTTTTTGTATTGGTTGAATGAGGCAGAGTTGTAGCTCAGCTTTGTGGATATAAAGGACTTCAATACACTTCACCTACTCTTGCTTCTGCTCTTAGCAACCTTATACCGGCTTTTACTTTCATACTAGCTGCCTTTTTCAGGTGCATATCTCTCTTTTTTCAATCTCGAAAGACAAAGAAAATCACTTGATCTTCATTAGTCAATTTTAATCTCTATTGTTTCTCAAATTAATATTACATTCATTTGCTTAGTTTCCGTGTTTAGTTACGGGGTACTACAAGATTCATATATTTGCTTGTTCTAATATCCGGCCCGACCCGGCCGATCGGATCGGTTGGACCGAAAATCAATTTCATCCGATGCTAATTCGATATTAATTTTTTGGTTGAACCAATTTTTAAGAATTATAACAAAATATTACATCACAGTTGTACTTTTAATATTCAAACTTAGCACCTAAGAAAAAAGAAGTGAAATACTAACCACTAAGACAGAGCATTTCTATTGTTATATTATTTTTTATTTATATATTTATTATATATTTTTACATAAATTCAATTTAAATTAATCAATTAGTGATCTAATCGAGTCAATAGCCCATTCATGTTTAATAACAATTCATCCCGACTTTAGTATAACATATCTTAAATTTCTGGGTGGTGGGCTCATAGATTATTTGAAGTCTTAAGTTTATGTGGATTTAAATTAAAGGAAAAAATATGTGTTCTTTTAAATGATATAAATTTAGATTTTTTTTAAGAAAGAGATAGATACAAAGAAGTGAGATCTATATTTTTATTTTTTATTTATTTTTAACGGGACCTATATTTTTTTATATTTATCTCTCTTTTAAAAGAATTTAAATTTATATATATTTTTTCCTAAATTAAGAGAGAGAGAGAGAGCATCCTAATTTATTTAGGATCGCCAACAACTAGTATATGGAACGATCTGATTGACATCATGCACTCACCTAATACATTAGAGGCTAATAAATTGGATGAATAATACAAACTGTCAATTTCAGGTCATCATATTTAAGTTTAGTTTGCAATGATAAATGGAGGAAGCTCTATTGATTGCAATCAGTTTAGGCCCCACTGACAAAGATGATATTTCTTTTAAGTATAAAAGGCCCACCTCACCAAATCACAAAAGAAGGAAAGAAAAAAAATACAAAAATGACCTAGTAAATAATGAATTGATTATTAACGATTATAAAGCATTACGCATATCCCATGCCATAACAATGTAAGTGCATAGGGATGCACACCGAACTTGGCCATGAACGGAATCATCATTCATCTCTGCCCAATACCGTTAAATAGGGGTAAGATCAAATTATATCAAGGGAAAATATTTTTTCCACTAATAACTTATAGTATAAGTGAGTTTTATTTTGAATTTTTTTTCTCTTTACTATTTTATAGATCCCACTTATACTATGAATTATTAGTAGAAAAAAAAATTTCTCGTTTAAAAAGAAAAAATGTTTTCCCTTATATTAATATAACAAGCAATTGTTATATTTACAAATTTTTGTTTATAAACTTATATATGTATTTAAAAAATGTAAATATAGAGGAATATATTTCTTAAAATACATAGGCTAATGTATAAAAATTTCTAAATATAACATGCCCCTAATATAAGAATAAGTAATTCTATATTTAATTTTAGCCATTAATTTATTTATATCTAACAATTTATATATATATATATATATATATATATATATATATATATAATAAATTAGAGTTGTTAAATATAAATAGGATCAAGAATTAACATTGAAAATATAACTTATACTAATGTAAAATAATCTTATTTTTCTAATATAATTCACATTAATTTAATTACTTATAATAAACAAAACTTACCTAAAAACAAGAGTAAATATTATTTTTGGTCCTCAACAAATTTCACGATATCCGTTTTAGTCCCTAACAAATAAAAAGGCCCATCGTGGTCCTTAAGAAATTCAAAATAGATCTATTTAGGTGAAATCGAGGTTCCTCAAAAATTTAAAAAAGACCCATGTTAGTCCCTAAAAAGATTAAAATGGGTCTATTTTGAATTTTTTAGAGACCACGATGAGCCTTTTTATTTGCTAGGAACTAAAACGGGTATCGTGAAATTTGCCAAGGATAAAAAAAATATTTACTCTAAAAACAATGAGCTTTTCTAGAATTTTGGTATGTATATAGCGATGTAAGCTACACCTCAAAATGCTGTATATAATAACATCGCTGTTTGAGAAATGACTAATGCAATTAGGAAGATTATATATGTAACAGGAGGTGGAAGATGAATTGGTTGGAGACCAACACACTAATATTTATATACCATTTTTACACCACTTAATGATGTACAAGATTGAGGTCAATACTCTGTATTATGTGGCTAACGGACTAACAATTAATTATTATTATAATTTTTAATTAATTATTAATATGTTAACTAAACAACTAGTTAATCATAAACTTGTACAATATTAATTAGTGTAAAAAAAAAAAAAACAGCGTATCTTCATTCCCGATGGGATATTTTGATATTGCTTGTTTTATTTTATTTTATATTTTTATCTTCTGTTACCGTGTTTTTATTAAATAAAAGGGTTTTGGTCTTTTTCAATTTATCTTTTACACACATAAAAGTGCACGAGACACATATTTTTAATTTTTTTCTTTTTTTCCTCCCATGGCTTCACATATTTTATATGTATGTAAAATATAAATTTCTTTCCAAAAATATTAAACCCTATATAAAAATATTATATTGTTTTCATTCTCTTTTATGTTTTCGTTGCCTCTGTTTTCATTATGAACCATTTTCTTGGTCCTTGCATGAAGGATGGAGAAGGTGGCTTTGGGAAGCTCAAGCACCCAAGCCAAAATCTTGGGTTCTGCAGTATCTATATTAGGAGCACTCATAGTTGTTCTCTACAAGGGCCCCACAGTCTTATCAGCTTTATCACCACAACTATCACCTACCATTGATTCTCCAATGGACTCAACAGCACAAACGAATTGGGTTCTTGGTGGGTCTCTACTTGTCGTTGAGTTTCTTCTGGTTCCAATATGGTACATTGTTCAGGTATTAACCTAAATTCGTCACCACTCGGTCACAAAATTCTGATATCATATTAAATAATTCATTCACTTAAAAAATTCAAATGGTTAAGTGACGGTCAATTCAATGACACAATTATCTAAGATTTAAGTCATATTGAGAATTCCCCAAAAAAACTGAAATTCAATTTTGTTGTTTGAAAACAGGCTAATGTTATGAAAGAATATCCAGCAGAGTTTATCGTGGTCTTCTTATACAACCTATGTGGGACTTTCATATCTGCACCAGTGTGCATACTATTAGAAGAAAACTTAAGTTCTTGGAAGATAAATCCTGATATTACATTGATCGCCATTATATACTCAGTGAGAAGCTAACAAATTCATTGGATAAACAAATCATGGAAAGGAATTACAAGTAATTAACATATAACTGAAATTTTCAACTTCATGCAGGGACTCTTTTGCACAGGCCTAAGTTGCTTGGTTCACACTTGGGGCATCCATCTAAAAGGCCCTGTTTATATATCTATGTTTAAGCCTCTCTCAATAGCAATTGCTGCCACTTTGAGTGCTATATTCCTCGGTGATGCACTGTATTTCGGGACGTATGAAATTCATTCCCTTTCTTCATTTTTATGTTTTAATTCTACAAAATTGGAAGCAATTGAAAGTATAAAAAAGAACACAAATGTTTACTTCGTTTGCAATATTTTGTTACGCAGCTTGACATTTACATTTCTTGTTTCAAATTTTGCAGTGTTGTTGGAGCATTAATACTATCAATTGGGTTTTATGCGGTTTTATGGGGCAAAACAAAAGAAGAATTGATTGAGGACTTTGACATAGATGGAACTCAACCTCCATCCAGTAGTAAGACTCCTTTGTTGTTGAGTTACAATGTAAAAGATAACGGAGAAATCACCCATAATGATTGTTGATAAATATCCAACTTATGAAGAAAAGAAAAAAAAAAGAGCTATCAAAAGTTGGGGTAGAAAGACAATATATATTTGACCTCACTTTTTCATCTTGGAATGCTTTGTTATATACTTTGCTTTGTGAAATCCAACAAAATGAGAGAATTTCACAATTTCTCGAGAAATAAGATATCGTTCTTCCGACAATTTTTGTTTAAAGTCAAATAAATATGCTGATTTGACAAAATAAGACGTGAGCTCTATTTGACCAAAATTGTTACAGCTTAGTTCTGGTTAGAGGATTAGGTGAATAAGTAGAAAATGAATAGCCTAAGTAGTCAGAATAACTACTAGTTCTTACTACTTGAATTGGAATTAGTCAGAATTTTCTTAATTATAATTTCTTGGTTAGTCCAAAAGCCTCAAGTAAGGTATTTTAAATCGATTCAAACCGCGGTGACTAAACCGAAAAATCAATAACTGAAAATCGAAAAATAAAAAAATTGAAAAAGAAAACCCGCATATTTTAATTGGATTGGATCAGTTTTTGGTTTGATCGGTGAAAATCGATCAAATCCAAATCGATCCAATGTATTATGTATTTATTATTTTTGTAGATTTGGATCTTGAATGTTATTGATGACAAACTATCTTGTTTTAGTATTTTATTGTCTATTAATCTATTTCAACTCTTCATGAGTTTTAAGACTTATTTTAATTTGAATACTTAAATTTTTTAGTATTTCATAACTTTGTATGGCGTTATTTTGATATAGCTAGCGATTTGTAAGGTTGAAATTTTAGATTTCTCAAAAAACCTAAAACCGATCCAATCCAAACCAAATAAAATTGGATTGGATCGGATCAGATTTAAAAAAAAAATTCAAACCGAATGGATGATTAAATGATCAAAGCGAAAGAATTAAATCAGATATTTTTTACTTCAAAATTGATCCAATCCAAACCACAAGCACCCATGACCTCAAGAAGTAATCCCAATTTTTATCTTTATTTCTTCCTAAGCTTCTTCCTATTTTGAATAATGAATCTGTTCTGTCTTAGAGACAGAGATGTCCAGTCCAATGGACTGATATGTTAATCTTAGATCTAGTGCCCTCTCCAAGGTATCTATGAAGGAGATACCCTTGAGTCAAGCAGATCATTGTGCACAATGAACGAATAATGACTTTGCCAATGGATGTGTGTGTGTGTGTGCACAATGACAGCATAACAGTAAGAGAGAGAGAGAGAGAGAGCGTAATATACCTTTAGGTTTTACCTCTTATTTATAGGATTTACCTGTGGGTCGTAGAATATGGGCCCTTGATACCTCTGATAAGGGTCCAAGCCCATCTGTCATGTTGTCGTATTAGGATTAGCATCCTTGATGGATTTATTTCCATAGTTATGCTTGATTTAAATCTTAGATTGCCCCTTGTTGGGCCTGTCAATCAATGGGCCCCTTATACGAGTCCATAACAGTTGCCCCTCAGCCTGGCTACCTGGGAGTCCGGGTTGCCGGGGTGAACTCCTTTGTGCATTGGATCGAATTTTCTGCTGAAAACGTCTGAGTTTTTGTGAACTCTTTGCACATATGCTCTTCGCATCTTAGGATTTTTCACCCGGTGACTTCATTGCCTGTTATTTCGTCAGGTTGAGCACGAACCCGGTGAGATGTCGTACATGTTCTTTGCACCGAGTTTGGAACGACCTTGAGTTGTTGTGATCAACTGGCGAGTTGCCCCCAAGCACACCATTCCAGAAACTCAGCTTGGCATTATTCCTTACGCAATGTTCTAACATATATTCTGAGCTTATAACTCTCTTATGGAACCAGGAATGACTCCTCACAGGGAATGGTTACTCATGGCCCCATATCTTGGTGGGTTAAGCATGAATTCGGCGAGATATTATGTATATAAACGGGTGATGAATGAGCTTGACTTGTTCAGATCGAACTGGCGGGTTTCCCCCAAGCGCATCATCCTTGTAACTCGGCTAAACATCGTTGTGTCTAGGTGTACATTTCTTGAATCCCAGATTTGATTTTTCAATTCTTATTACCGACTTTATTGTCAGCTATCATTTCATTTTGACACATGGTGCTTTTCGCATTTGTTAGCGTGCTGCAGCCATTTTGGGCCGTTTTTGCATTTCGTGTGCATTTATTGAATGTGTCGTTTCAGGCGTCTAATCATTGTTTGTTGGGTGTAATGACATCAGTGTCCCTGACGCTTACCATCAGTAACCGTTGCGGTTACCATTGTGGCTATATAAGCATGCTTCCTTTCCCCTTTTTATTTTTCCTTTGGTTATTGTTGGATGGTTTGCTGATGGTGGAAAAATATAAGTTCTGATAGGGGACGTTCCTCTGTTCTTGCAGAACACATATTTGTCCCTTAGTTCCAACCCAGTGCGCAAGTGCACGCATCAAGTAATAAAGGGAGTATTAATGCCCAAATTATCGTTCCCACGAGGATAAAGTGCTAATTATTGTTTTATCACTGTTTATAAAGAATGAAAATGAGAAGAAACGTTAGTAAATGAACTGTCTTGTCAAACGTTCCCTACTATCTTGACAAGGTTCCTCAAGAACAGTAGGTTCAATCTGATGGCAAACAGTTGCTCGCTGCGTTATGTATGTGATCCTTCCTGTTTAGAAGAAGGTGAGATAATAATCATTGGAGTTTTTATAAGTACTAAATAAAATAAAATAAAAACTACTAAAACAGAAATAACTATAATCAAGAGACAATAGGGTGGTGGTTAAAATAGTTTAACAGAAGGAACAGATTCACTGCTTCACTCTTAAAGGGGCTGATTTCTCTGCTCAAGACTTAGCACCTTTTGGCTTTGTCCCAGTTTCTTTGCCTGCCAACTCTGATTCCTCAGCTCATGGTCTAGATGGCTCACAAGTTTCCATATTCCTATGGCTCCCTTGACTCCAACAGGTACTTAGTTTAGAACCTTAAAATGGACAAGTTGGCCCCTTATTCCTAAGGTAACCAGTAGCGTTTTTTCCATGACATCTACCTTCCCCCAATGGCTAACCTGTCTGAAATCTCTTCCTTATTGAAGTTCCTTTCTCAATATGTACCCAATTTCCATTGGCGCACAATGAATATAGCTTACTTAGCCAAAGAAATACAAAAAGCTTCGGTCAAGAGTTTTGAAACAGTTCTTTAAGAGTTTCACAGTTTACCCGTTCTACAGATAGTTCAGCTCATGGCTCATAGTTTAAACATAATTATTCTCAACTGAGATCACATAGACCCGAGATTCAGTCAAGAGATAATGATTGGAACGAAGAGAAAAACACTTATATTAATTTAAAAGACATTTACAAAAAGAAAAAGAAAATGGAGAAAGATGGGTATTTGCTCGTGAGGAGTCTTGATGGTTGTTTACAGAGAAGAGAATAGGGGTTGTCACTTAACTACAGTTACAACTTAAAATTAAACTAAGTTACTAACTACTACTAAGTGATCTATTCCTTTCGGACTGCAAACCCTCCAGGATTCGATGATGTTTTTGTGTGAGGGTGGTCCTATTTATAGCTGGAAGAGGAGTGGCAAGACTGTAATTCCCTTGGAGCCAGTTGCTTGAATGAGGGGACGGGACTGTGGCAGCAGAGTGTGAAGCTTGCGTGAATTACTGAATGGAACAGGATTTGGTGATGATTAGGCGTTGTTTGCAGACCTTCTCATGCTTTGCTTTTGTTTTCAGCCAATGAGAACACTTGATTCTCTGCTCTTCACGTTTCCAGCTGCTCAGTTGGTGCACCGCCTTGCTTTTTAGAAGTCTTTAACTCTACGTTACCTGCAAAGTGTACAAAAGCATTAAATGAATGGAGCAGGTGCATTAAATGCGTCTCAGTCCGTTCCCCTTTTAATATATTTTAAAGGAATACGTTATCATCCGTTCCCTCATTGTGTTTTTGTCACAAATGTGTAAAACAAGTGATTTTTATGCTGAAGTTGCTCATCAGATAAGGGAACGTATGGTATTTTGCCATCAAAATGGGCTTAGATGAGAACGAATTTACGTCCCATCAAACTCCCCAAAACTAAACTGTTGGTTGTCCTCAAACAACTCAAAAATATTGTATTGGTCTGCCCAATTTAAAAGAATAGCATAACACAAAGGAACTTGAGCCAGTGAGCAACCATGAACTTTTCAGAAAAATGAACTACTCTCGTAGTAAACAGTAAGAGGATTCTCTCCCCAGATAAGAGAAGGTTGCTGATCTTTTGTCTCACTGTCACTCATGGGTTGGTGTTTGCTCTGTCCATTCCTGGATGTGATTCTTCAGAACTTGCCTTTCTGCTGCGTTCCTATGAAGTACAGCTGTCTTCCGTTCCAAGGATTCTTTGATGGGTAAGTGTATGGAAATGTGGAAGAAGTGGTGATCTGATTTGTGGGATCAAGGAACGTTTAGCTTTTGTGCCTTTGAACTTGGACTTTTTCTGTTTTAAGGGAACACTTTTTCTTGAACCTTTTTCTTCCTTTGGAGGAAGGTTTTCTGGTTTTTCTTGTATTCTTTTGAATGGTTGTTCCCCTTTTTCTTTGTTTTTCTTCTGTCCTTTTTTTGTTCATTGTTGAGTACGTTCCATGTTCTTTCTGATTGACCAGATGGTGTATGATGGAGGTGAGGTGAGTGTGTGACTCTTTTTTGATCCTTGACAGCAGAATTCATTTGTCTTCAGCAGTACTTACAGCATTAAGGCAAGCTAAGAAGTTTCATTGTGGTTACACCTCAGGAACGCTCTCAGAAGTAGGTGTTTGGCATTTTTCCGTTCCTTACTAGTTTGAGTTCACGCAGATCAGCTTCTTTCAAAAATCTGAGGATTAAATTTCCTGCACTGTTTCTATTTTCAAGTACTCAAAGAAAGAACAAGCATGATTAGTCAGTGACTTTGTGTTTCATGTATGTTAGTTAATCCAAAAGAATTGGGCAGTCTTAATACTATAACTGAAATGCATGCATATACCAAACAGTTTAATAAAAAAAGGTCTTTTCT